ATGGACTTCCTTCAGTGCACACTTAGTGAGCTTAAGTGAGAAAGCTTTGTCCCAGGAGTATCGTGCATCCACAGAATGCAATTGAGAAGCTGTAACATGATTGATTTTCATGGGAACATTCAAAGCCACTTCTCACTGAAGGCAATTTCCAAGAATTGTCATTTTTCTACTATTTCGACTGTAGAGCTTTATATAAATTGGTTGCAAGATTTCGTGGTTGTTGCTTTTCTTCTTGTGGGAGCCATTTTTCACTCTTCTTAACCAAAAAAAGCCTTCAAATAAACAAACAAATGACTAAGCCAAGTTGAGTCCCCAATCCTTTCAGCTTTTGCAGGAAACGTTTTTTTGCTGCACCTTTTAGCAGGGAAGATTTTATCCTAAAAATGTCAGGTTTCATGAATAGCTTAAAAAAGGGCTCTGAATAGAAACGCATGCATATCCATGCAGTGGATAGCTATTAGGCCAGATAATCATGCTTTGTGTTACAGTAACTATGCACTTTCAGGGGTCAGAGGTGGAAGAAATTTGTTTCTGCCCTATCGTAAATGCAGGCAGTGCATCCCACAAATATTGACCTTATGCATGATCTTCCAAGAGGCAGTTTCCATGTAATGACCTCTCCTGCAGAGAAAAAGTGCATGAAGCGATGGAGAAGAAATGGCATATTGGCAACCGGAGAGATGATGAAGGGCAAACTGCAATTTTGCATGGCAACTAAGAGGATCTGTAACCTCTGAAGTGCAATTTAAACTCAAATCCACTGGGATTAGAACTACTAGGCTCCAAGCATCCCATTAAGGAGCTAAAATTGTGTATGAAAGTCCGTTATATTATTATTCCTGGCATCTAAATAGAAATTTACAGCATTTCAGAAACAGTGACTGAGAAAACTAGCTAGTTAGAAGCTGCAAATGCATTCTTATTTTTCCCAAGACCCATGTGCAACCCACATGGGACTTAATCATCATAAAGATGAGAACATAAGTGATTACAAGGCTACACCTCACAATGTTTAAAAAGACAGCTTCCTGTTTAAACACTGCCTTTAGGCATGGCTCACTGGAAGGACTTCAACAGTCAGAGTCATTTTTCCAGCCAAGGAGCTAAATACACTGCAGCCACCATTCAAATGCTTCTAGGACTGTAATACCTTACCTAATGCCTTCCCCCAAGTAATGTGACAAATATCTTAGACAGGAATGCTAGGTGGGTTTTTTTTCCCATCTTCCCTTTAAGGGCAAAATATTCTAAACCTCACGATTCTAAGAGATTACATTCAAAAAATATATTTACAAAGGCGAAAGCCACCGTCACTTACTGAGTGCACCGGTAAGCTTCCAGCTGCCCAAATGAACAGTGAAATGCAGATATAAATAACTTCTGTTTATTTACATTTTCAAGATGCAAGTTTGCACAGAATATCTGGGTCCACGCATGTATCTGGAGCACTTCAGATTATGAAACAGACACTTAAAGACATCATCATGTCCTCTAAAAGCAGGAGAATTTAAGTGCCAAAGCTGGTCCACGACCTTAAATTAGATTTCTTGTCCCGGCAGTCCAATGACAGCATAGGTCTTTCTGCTGTTTGATGGTGGTTTGACTTTACACTCACTTAGGATAAAAAAAATTGTTTAAAAAAAAGTATCTTTTTTGCATGTCTTTGTACACAAAGTCTTTGAAGCTGAATTCCCACACAGTACAAGCACACTAAGCAGCATTTGATTATTAGGGATTTTAAAGCATAGCAGCTTTTCAGGATTGATTAAAAAAAAATAAACAACTTGTGGTGCTTTCAGTCTGCCAGAAGACTGAAGGGGGGACAGGACTTATTACAACATTATTACATTCTGCCAGTCACAGCTCGCTACAAGAGAGAGCTGTAATAACGCCTCTTTCATGAATGCCATATGCAAAAACACCTCTGTAGAGCATTCGATCCAACCCAGTGTACCAGCAAAATCCATTCTCACTGTTCAGCTGTGTTTCAGAACCCAGACTGATCTACTTATCTCAGGTAAGGTCCTGCACACCTTGAAGCTACCTGGGGACTTGACTACAGCTGGAGCTCTTAAGCTTTATCTCAGCTGCACGGCTTACTTGCAACAGCAGCCTGCGCCTCTCCCTAACGGCTTTCTTGACTGGACAGATCAACTGACACCTACTAACTCAGCATATGCTCGTGTTATTAACTGCTTTGTCGTGCTCCCCGCACATCCCCCAGCATGAACGGTACCATCACTCGCTTTCTGCAAGTCTCATATCCTAATCTTTTCAGCATACTGATTAACTGACTTGCAATTCCCAGAGCTCTGCAAGTTCTCTTGAACAAGAGGTTTCTGCTCCCTAGAAACAGACTGCAATTACATCCCAATTTGGGGATCTAGAAGGTTCCTTTTTTTAAAAATCCAGCTGAGGCTGTACCCAGTGAAACAATCAATTCTCCAACTGAACGCAGGGGGGTTTGAAACCAACTTTAAATTCAAGGCTATTGATGCCTTTATTAAAAAACTACAATAGCATTTTAAGGATAAACATCAATCAGAAGAGACTTGCATAAGTCAAAAAGGTTCATTAAGGTCCTTCCATTTTGGTTAGGCTCTTTAGAAGCATTCAGTCATTATGAAATTAGTGATTCTGGCTGCCAAATGACTTGCTGAAGGTTGTGCTGCTGAATTTCAGCCCAGTTGGCATATAAGCAGTGTGCAAGCAAACTGCAATGGCAATTTGTGCGATATGGAAGTCTGCCTGGCAGGGAACTGCAAGAATGATTAGGGATCTGAGAAGTAAATCTGTCCCAAGGAAAAGCAAGTGGTATGTAAGTAGAATACACAGTGTGATTATTTGGAAGCATTTTAGAATACAGTGAATCAGATCTTGATGGTGATGGCAAGAAGGGAACTATTATTTAGGAGGAGGAGTTTTTAAAATTTGTTTTTATTAGGAGGTCTTGTGCCCAAAGGAGTCTGAGAGACCATCACTTGTATAATAACTATGTGTGAATCTTAGCCAGCTACTTCCAGGTGTAATGCAGAGCTCCTAACCACTAATTCATAAAGTGGTATTTCTTGATTCTGTACATTGCAGGGAATTTTTCTTTAATAAAAGTTGGTACGCTCTTGGGTTTGTTTCTCCCTAAAGACAACAACATAATTGCAGAATTTCTAGATAGTTTTAAGTTTTCTAGCACATCACTGAGCCTCCCAGCTCCTCCTGGTGACAGAGCAGCACTGCCCGTCCTGGGCTGCAGGAACTCTGCTCCCTGCAGAGACCTCTTTAAAGTAGCACTGCACAAGTTCATAGTTTGACCTTTTTTCTTCTGTTGTCTTTAAAGCTTTCTGATTCTACCTGGATCGGTGCTGTAGGTCACAGGAAAGAACTGAAAACCTCTTGGAGACTAACCACTGGCTTTTCTTTATCTCTTTAACCAGTAGGTCAGCTGAACTCTGTTAAAGCAGTGTAAGGCCATGATGATGCTGAAAACTGGCTGAATCCTGTCTAAAACAACACTTTGGAGGTCATTACTACTGAGGAATGACTTTGGTCCTAGACACATGGCATGAAATCTTAAAATAACACCAGCAGAGACAGAGATGAACCTTTAAGTATCTATAGTAAGCTAAGGATTAAGCAAGCAATGCAGAAGATGCAACTACCTGGACAATACTGGAAATTTCTCTGTATTTTTAGAAAGATTAAACTTCAGTTGTAGGCAGCAGGATGAGATGTTTCTGTGCAAAGACCTGTACGTTATTTACTGAGCAATTTCAAAACTAGGATCTCCCGTTACTTGGAAGAGATGCTCATACCTGCTTGTGATACAGACCTAACAGCCTGACAACTACCCTGAGAATGCTTTGGCCACTTCTCCAGGTTATGTGTAACTGCTCATCTGTATTTTTCTCTCCAGCTGATGAACCTGTCACACAGTGACAGCCAGTGTTAGCAAGGAGATCTAGGAGTAACACGTTATAAGACACACTGTTCCAAACGGAGGAGCTGGATGGGAAGAGGTAAGGAGAACAACCTCACTGGTGATGGCAGAGTTGCTTCTTGCACCCATGACTTTTCCAAAGTAAGTTTCTATGTTCACCCATCATAAAAGAGGAAGCAAAAAAGTGGTTCTTGCCTCTCTGTATCAGAAAATGCTGCACAAGCCCACAGTGCTGATTTTTTCATCACTGTAAAATCAAAACTTTTTTTTCTTTTTTTCTAACCTTACTGTGGTAAATGCTGAACCTATTCACAGAAACATGCTCAGCCAGCACTGGTACACCAGTGCACTTTAATAAAAGTGTCTTTATCTTCTCTCATAGGACTGTCTTTCATTTCACATGATCCTCTAAAGCAGTCCTCCATTTATATTCCTTTTCTGCACCTTTGGGTGTACATGACATTATGGACACAGTCTCACCAGAAGCACATGACAATGGTAACGCTGCCTTACCTTAACAAGAAACATCTCTGATACACTCTAAAATCACATTTAAAGGGTTTTTTTTCATCCAGCGATCATCCTATAACCTTCTGTATATTTCTTTTGGCGGCCGGGAAAGTGATCGGGCTAGATAGATGTCTTACTGAAAGACTGAATAATAACACTAAAAGATAAGACTTAATGTCTATATTCTGCTGAGATTGCCAGGAAGTGTTATGGCTATTGGAAAGGCACAGAGGAGCTGGTTTAGGTATTTAGGTATAAAACCTAACAGAAGTTTACCTCAAGAAAGAAAAAAACCAGATCTTGGAGATACTGCAGAAGAAAAAAGTGCAGGAATTGAACACCTGAGACATGGGGGAATATTGGTAAAGAAATCTTTTCTTGTTTGAACTAGAAAACTTTTCCAGTGATAGCAGCAGACTATCTTGAAGATTCTTATGTATTTTAATCAAGCTTCTTTTAGCACCTGCTGAAATCTCTCAGAGCTCAGGATTGGCTTAAATACATATGAAAAGGGCTCTGTGGCATGTATTCCTTGACAACAATCTGTTCTCCTTACCTCATAGAGTGTAATGATGCCATTTGTCTCATTTGGAGGCTTCCACTGAACATAGATCTTCTCTTCAAAAGGTCCTCCCTGGATGGATTCCAAGGGAACTGGTCCAGGAACTACAGGGAAAAAAAATGAACAAAAACCTGTGTTAGAAGCTACCACCAGCTCCAGATGCACACACACCAGAAGACACCAAGAGGCCATGAGACAGGAAGTTCACAGCTGAAAATTTAAAAAATAATAATAGTAAAAAAACTCAACACAAAACCCCCTCAAGGCACTACCATTACCAAGGCACTCTCAATATGAAAGGTCTATTCTGAAACTTTTGTTCAAGTAAGAGTACCCTAATCTAACCACTAAGTGCTAAACAGAATCAGAATCCATGAAAATATGAAACTAATTTCAGTACATCCTTATTCGAGTACAGCACAGTAGCAGCAGGAAATGTAATTTGTCCTTCTCTGCCCACACAAGAGCAAAGCTCTATCCACTAAACAGCCAGATTGCACCTTGGCATAAAGATGCTACTGGGCTGCACACCTTTATCAATTGAAAGATTTATTTCCTTAGCAAAGTAACAATGGAAGATTTATATTTCATTATGGCTACAAGGCCAGCTAAAAAATCCACCTACTCAAGCAAAATTTTAATACTGTGGAAGATAACTAACTAAATGCACTCCCAAGCCTGTCTGATAAAAACCCTGTTCATTTTTCTGAAAGATCTGCCATCCTCTTATGTCCCCCCCGTATGATATACTGGACTGCAAGAACCACTTTCAGCTGAGAGAAACTTAGGACAGCAACTCCTTACAGCTCTGGCAGAGGAAGAACATTTCTTTTTTAACACACTGGACAGGATGGAGCTTGTAGTCTATGAGAGTCCTCACAGCTCAGATGGGATAGTGACACTTCAAAGCTTTCCATCACTACTTCTAGGAAACACTTATTTTGTTTTTTCTTTTGCTTACAAGAACAGAAGAGTTAGCACCAAATTAATTTAGCTTCTGAGACGAATATAAAATGCTGTATCCAGATCAGTATTAAGAAAAGTTACACTCTGGAAAGGAAGACATCATACTTCGTTTTGGAACAGTGATGTGAAGGCACAAGAAAAATCAACAAATGCCAGGATTACATTTACCCATATGATAAAGAAGCTTATTGTTGGTCCTGGGTAGTTCAGAACACAAGTTCTATAGAATTAAACCTACCACTTTTGGCAGCTGCTCAGACTGGCGTTTGTCATTTCCAAGCACTTCAGGGATCCTTGCCCCTTCAAGAACATGGCTGTGAAATGGAAATTGTTTACACCTACAGATTTTACTTGTGTAACAAACACACATTGTCCAGAGAAGATGCTTATAAGTCTATGGGAGAAAGGGTTATGCTGTTTAAAATATTAGTCTTCTCCCAAAAAGCAAACATGCAAACAAACCCAACATAACTTACCATCTTCCTCAGTCTGTACAACCAACTCCTCACTTTCCATTTTGCCTTCTGGGTTAGAGAGGGCTAACCTCAGTCTGATGGTCATGAAGGGCCGAAGACCTCGCAGGGTGTAGTGGGAAGAAGTTTGGATGAGTTCCTCTGCCTCAAATTTTTGCTGGTTAAACACATACTGGTACTGGACTGTGAGATTGTAGCTGTGGCAACGGGTCACTGCATAACCAAAGGGCTCCCACTGCAATGTCAGCTGCCGGGAGCGAATATCAACAACTTCTACATTTTGAGGTCCATGTACAGGATCTGTGAAGCAAGCACAGAAAAAAAAAAAAAAGAAAAAAAAAATTACATTAAAAGAATTCAGTTATCCATTAATAAGGTTCCTTCTAGAGTATCCAAGTATTTCACAGTTCTGAATGTTTTTGTCTTTACAATGTGTAAGTGATGGGCAGATGAATGTCAGATCCACAAATGCATTCTGGTTCCTGAGTTCTCCCTGAAAATCCCCTGAACAGTGGTCATGCTCCCGATTCCTATGAAACCTCACTGAATCCAACAGTGGCTGTAGTGTGAAAGTCACCTTCATTTACACCAGAAAAAAAAAAAAAAAGAAAAAGGTAGCTGATGACCTGCCTGAAAGTGCCTAAATGCCTCCGTGAGTTCAGCCCTAAGTGATGCAGATACATAGGAAAGGGCTGCCAGAGAGAGAATGAATTGAATTCTCTCAGATTTCAATTTAGCTACTTAGTCCCTACACCTTCCTGCCGACCCTGAACCCATTCTGCTCAGAGACTAAAGCACACCAGGGTTAAGAGCCTGACTGCTAAGACTTTCAACATCTTAGTGCCACTGCCCCCTCAATTTTTTAAACTCAACATTTTGGCAACAGGGCATACGAGCAGATTTAAGTTTTCGGAGTCGTATCACTCTTGTGCCAATAAAACTTTTATTTCAGATCATATCAGCGCCTTGGCCCCACCAAAGTTTTATTGCTCTCTATTATTCTTTCTACAGTATCTGACTGAGGTACAGTTTGAATATTCATGCGTAGGAACCATTCTCACCTGCTGTTCCTTAATTTATTTTTAACAGTGTAGCTCAAATGCTCTGACTACAGACTTCACCCTTTATATAAAACATAAATGCATGCACTGCTAGACATGTGGATATAAAGAATGAAGGATGAGTTAGTAAAATCAGTGTTTGAGATATGTCAGATGGTAATAATACTACACATGTCATAGTTTGTTTATCTGACATTTCTCCAACTTGTGTAGCTCGTTTCCTTTTTTGCTCGCTATATATCTAAGCAGGGTAATTAGAAAATACATAATTTCCTATAAAGTTACTTGATTTATAGCACAATTTAGTGTTTCACCCACTTCTCATGTTCTCTCACGATTCAACCTATGAAAGGAACAGAACATTTTCATGGGAACAAAAAAAGGCACTAGGACTCCCAAATACTTGTTACGTTTCTTTGGAAGACAATTAAACTGGAGGAAAAGCCTTCTAGTAATTTTTGAAAGTAAAGCACGCACCAGCCATACTGACTTCAATTTAACTAATGCATAAGTGGAAAATGCGCTGTAACAACCAGCATATTCTGTCTTCTAATAAAGCCCTAGTGTCTGGCAATGGGAAAATAGCTACTTCTGAAATGAACACTGTTCTGAATCTTTACATAGATACACACACATGCAGCCAGTTTTTGTAACAGGACAGATATTAAATGACCAGGGGTCTAAAACTAGCAACTGGTTTAGGTTTTCATTTAAGTCATGTCAAGCCCTTAGCATCCAGAAATCACCTCTTAAATGAGATTCTTTAGTACTGTATGCGTCAAAAAATTCCAATTTAGAAATTAAAATGCTTATATGCATAAATGTACACATATGTACTTAACATTACATGATAATCATTCCTTTACTATAAACTCATGAAAAGAACATTTCTGTAGATGAATTGTATAGAGAAATAAGGTGAACAAAAGAATATTTCCATGAAAACTTTCAGCCTCTGAGACTGTAAAGGTAAGCACAAGTGTCATTCCAAGGTGCAGTGAAAGGAAAGAAAACCAAAAGCAGATGCAGATGCTTGTCCTTCTGAACTCACCACTACACCAAATAATCAACTCTGGATCCCAACCCAAAATGTGGCTGAGACACAGCAAAAACATTTCATGCCAGGACAATGATGCAGCTGAAGATGGCTATTAACCTCCATGTTAATGCTATACTGGTTTTTTAAATCACAGCTATTTTCTTTAAGTCGGCCATGTTATGGAATGAATGGCTAATTAGAGGGGGTGTGACATTTGTTGATATCAGATGTGCTGACTTTGTAAGTGGGTAAAGAGCAACTCTGATTCAGCATCATCTCACCACGTTCTATGTCCAAAACCTGGACTATGGAAGATTACCTGCAGTTTTAGCTTGCTTTCTCGTTCACATTTGCCCTTTCCTTTCTTACCCCAAACTGTAAGTCTTGGAAGCTGCCTTGTATCAACGATTTTTAATTCTACTTCAAATTGTATTGTAAATGCTCTAAGATACATCCCAAGGCCTTTCTATGGTTTTGCAACACAATCTTTTCAATAGAGTAACCAGCCTATTAACTGCAGATGACTAAAAATCTAAAGAAGCTAAAAATACAGATTACAAGCATAGTCCAGACCTCACTACATAAACACAGAACATGCCACATTTTCCCAAGAACTTTATGTGCTCAGGCTAATAATCCTAAAAAGTGAGATTTTTCAGTGCAGTGAAAAAACTAGATCATGATTCTGTATAGTCACAGTGACAGCAGGAAGGGGATGCAGGTCTCAGAAACACCCATAGTCTGAGGAGTCTCCTATGTCAGATGTGGAGACTTGACAACAAACAGCCTTTTGAGCAAAGAAGGAATAAGTAAGTAAAACCTATTTAAACTTTAGGTTCAGAGAGGAAGAAACCAAACTGGCATTAAATCAACAAATAGAAGCTGCACCTGAAAAGCTTTATATTCTCTCTGGCTGCCTTCTCTCAGTTTCAATCTCCTTTTTCTGAAAACTGAGACTACGTAATTTTGAAAATATTCTCCTGTTGCCACACTGATTTCCTCTGCAGCATAAGTCATTGAAACTCAGTTTCAAAGATGAGATTTTGTACTGTTGTTTTTAAAGGACAGTGGTGCCTATTACCTTCTCCATTTAATTCCTTCCACATTTTAGCTTTGTAAGGACACAATCTCAGAAAGTCTATAGAACCTATCACTGGGAATCTACTGTCAAACATCACTGTTTTTTCATAATGCCATAAAGATTCTTTTTTTCCCCAAAAAAAACCTAAAAACGTTTATAATCAATCAACAATCCTCTAGTAGTGGTGCATACTTGAAACTGGACAAACATCTCCATTTCTGTATTCTTGGAAGTATAGCTTCCAAAAAACACAAGAAAAAACCTGAAAACTGTTAACCTTGCACTTGGGTTAGTGTAAGAAAAGCTGCTAATAGGTATCTCAACTTTTTGCTTTACAAAAATACCTACAAAAGCAAGACAGGAACAGACTGGCCCAATTTGAATACTTAAGAGATCACATATAAAAAGATGTTTGTGTAACCTGCATAAAAGGAAATAAAAATTTCTAAGTGTCCTGAAACCTTGGAAAAACCAAAGGAAATTCCCATGAGGCAGGAGCAATGAAACATCTGCCAACGATCTATTAAAACTAGTCTTGAACCCATGCAAAGAAAATTGCAGTCTCTGGGATTTCACTGTGCAAATGCTGTATTTTTAATTCAGCCTGGTTGAACTATTAATTACATTTTGAAAGTTCACAACCAAGTCATTAACTGAACCGTATTTTTTAAGACTGCATCTCCCACTGATGCTTTGATACTTCTCGTTACTCTGGTAGGCTGATGCAAACACTGCAGGCCAGGAACCCTTCTCAAGCATTTGTGATGTGCAAGTGGCCTAAATGAAACAAACTCTCCCAGGGATCCTTCAGCTGTGCTCTCAGTCCAGCTAAGCAGACATTTTTGACCCAACAGTGACCTAAAATTCAGACACTGCATTTTCTGCTATCGCAATTTCAAAAAAGTTGACTTTTATAGCTGGTTTTGCTCTTTCCTTATTAAGTGTCACAGATTTCATTTTGTTCACTATAGTCTTCTTGCCCAAGGTGAGGGGTAGAAAAGCAAAGGTTGATTTAGATTATTAATAACAATTATTTCTGATTTATACCCCTCCATCAAGAGAAGAACAGAGAGGAAAGGAAGCAATGGGAAACACTGGGCTTTGAACAAGAATCTCAAGTTGAGTGGTGAAGTTAAATAGAGACAATCAGCTGTTGCCCCCAAGTTAACTACCTGCTGCAGGAGCCTAATTGCAAGAAATTGCTGCTGTCAGTGAAGACATGACATTGAGCAGAAGATGTCCATACTTGTCTGAGGCCCCATGCCCATGTCCCCTGACCCTACGGAGAGCAGGAGGCAGAGTTTATTAGCAGTGCAGGTGTCCACTGATAAAATTCTGTTTCTCAGCAGTAGGTTACAGAGACTGAGAATGCACAAAGGCAAGAAAAATGAGGGTGACAGGTGTATCAGCTTTCTGTGAGTCTTGAACAGGTGCTTTCTGATACAGAAAGAGAAGGCAAATAGGTGTGAGTATGATTCCTGCCTCCCCCCCAACACACCCACAGCTGAGCCAGTCACTCCAGCCAGAGCAGGTCAGCCAACATCGGGACACCCCAGTAAGGTCCCCATCCCCTCCTTCTAGGCAGACTGGGAGGAGACTGGTGCATCAGTAGTTGATAAGAAGACCAAAACTTGTGTTCTTCCATCTACCAGCATGGTATGACCTCTCTCTGTAGCCCAGAAAACATTTAAACATTTCAATTAGAAAATACAAATTTGGTAGTATCACAGAATGGTTGAGAACTTCATAGAATATTTCACTCTCACAATAAATTGAGACAGTGGCCACCATTGCTGCAACAACAACAGAACTCCTAATGACAGTGAATCATCAGAATGTTTCCTTTGTGTTTTTGAAAGATGTTGTTCTTGTTCTATAGGTGGAAAACCAAACAGTAATGTAATTTTTCTGACAATGATTTTACTTCAGATATTAGATTAGAGCTGAAGCCTTCTCTATCTCACCTTTATTCCCTCTTCCTCCTTAAATTTCCACAGGATGAAACAAGTCCAGGGAAACATACCTACCATCAAAAAACGCTGCAAGATAAACAGAGCAGAAGCATTTGAGTGGTTTGCCTTAAATGCACAATTCAAGTGTGTGTGATGGTTCAGGATAA